CAGCGCTGTCCGAAGACGTCTCTGTGGTCATGTGGCCAGCATGACTCAACTCCCGAAGGCACACGGAATGCTGTTCCCTTCCCACCAAAGAAAGGTGGTTCCTATTTTTCTGCTTGCATTTTTTACCTGCTTTCGAACTGCTAGGTTGGCAGAAGCTGGGACAAGTAACGGGAGCTCACTCCGTTACACGGTGCTAGGGATTCAAACTGCTGAACTGCCGACCTTTCTGATCGACAAGCTCAGCATCTTAGCCACTGAGCCACCGCATCCCCTTAGGAACTGACTTACAACTATTCATTTAATGCTGATTCAAGGTTACAAAGGCGCTGAAAAAAGTGACCTATAACTGTTTTTCACACTTATGACCATGGCAGCATGCCCACGGACATAGGATCAAAATTCGGGTGCTTGGAAATTGACACCCTGACTTCCAACAAGCAAAGTCAATGGGGGAAACCGAATTCATTTAACAATTGTATGATTCACTTAACATCTGCAGTGATTAACTTTTTTGCCTTAATAGCTGTGGCAAAAAAGGTCATAAAATGGTGCAAAAACTCACTTAACAACTACCTGGCTTAGCAAAGAGGTATTTTGAGCTTAATTGTGGCCGTAAGTCAAAGACTATCTGTAATACAATATCTTATCACCAGATAACAGGCAGATCGCTTAATTAGTCTTCCTGAAATAAGTTTCCCATTAATTTATTTCCATTTATGGTTCATTTCTGAAAGTGACAGGAGGTATGTAGTTTTAGCTCACTCAAGAAAAAGAATTCAGAAAAAGTCATGTGTAATACTATGAAAAATAAATGCCACCATGATTACCATTAAACTAGAAAAGTACTCTTGTAGTATAAAAGGAAATATTTAGGGCCAGTTCCTCTCTCACAGGATTGTTATGGGGAAAATAGGAGGAGAAAAAAAATACCGTGTGTCTTTCCACCTTGAGTATATATTTATGTAAATATGGTTGTACGTGTGTGTATGTTCCAGCATAACTCTGGAACGCTTCAAGCAATTTCAACCAAAATTGGTACACAGATGACTTACTCTCTGGAAACAAATACTATGGGGGTAAGACACCTTTAACACCGCTCAGTGTGTGTGTCTGTGTGTGTGTCTGTGTGTGTGTGTGTCTGCGTCCGTGTGTGTTCCAGCATAACTCCAGAACTCCTGGGCCGCTGAAATGAAAAGGACTGAATTATATCTATAGTGTCAAGTCACAGTACTTCTGACAGTGATAGTGTGCATTTTGGATTCAAATTCTGTTAGATAAGCCTGTTGTGCCTTAAAATGGCTTCTACTGTACAGCCCAGTGGAATTGCCATGGTAACAGCTTTGCAATACTCCACAAGGGGGCTCCCTCTAATACAGGATTGGGATAAAAACATACCCGGGCTACACCAGGTTATCAGCTAGCTATTTATAAAAATATAATGAAAGCAGAATAGAAATAAATAAAAATAAAACCATATTCTTGTTTCGAGTGTACTTAATGTTTTCATAGTTCTGTTACAAATTTTTAAATCCATCACTATATGCGATGTTGGTAAAAATTATGCCCCAATAAATAGAAAGGAGGAAGCAAAAGCTGTGGGCATAATATCTCGGTCAATCATCCCTCTGCTCACCCACATCCTCTTTCTTGCAGATCTCAAGTTTCTATCCCACTTTGCAACGTCTCTAGAGGTTCCAGCTTACCAAAGTGTGCCGCTTCATGTGCTCCCGTCGGGTGAATTTCTTCCCACAAATTTCACACGGGTAGGGTCGTTCTCCTGTGTGGGATCGCATATGCCTTTTCAAGATGCACTGGTGCATGGCTGAGAAGCTGCAATAGGGACACTTGAACTTCTTCCTGATGACTGTGAACTCATTTACTGAAAAGAAGCACAAGGCAATGGAGGTTACAGCTCTCTCTTTTGAGATTTTGGGCACAATTTTTTAAAAAGAATGAAGGCAGGATACAAACAAACAAACAATAAAATAGCCAATCTGATCATTTTTCAGAGAATCTCTGCACTGTCTCTGGGTTTGGCTTCAGAAAAAATAATTGTTAGCTTATCTTGTAAGTTTTCAACATTTTAAAGAGAATATAACTGTCATTTTTTTTACTGTGAGCACACTAGGTAAAGGTAAAGGTTCCCCTGCATATGCATGCTAGTCATTTCTGGCTCTGGTGGGAACGGCTCATCTCCATTTCAAAGCTGAAGAGCCAGCACTGTCTGAAGACGTCTCCGTGGTCATGTGGCCGGAATGACTAAATGCTGAAGGTGCACAGAACACTGTTTCCTTCCCACCAAAGGTAGCTCCTATTTTTCTACTTGCATTTTTACATGGTTTCGAACTGCTAGGTTGGCAGAAGCTGGGACAAGTAATGGGAGCTCACTCCGTTATGCGGCCTATGGATTCAAACCGCTGAGCTGCCAACCATTCTGGTCAACAAGCTCAACGTCTTAGCCACAGAGTCCCCACGTCCACACCATGAGCACACTAGCTCACATCAAAAATGAAATTTTGTTGCCTGCTCAACATTTTTATTTGCGTTGATGACCATACTATATTTTGCAAGGAAAGAATTGGAGCCATAACTTAACTGCTTCCTCATTCAAGGAAAGGGCTAAAAGAAAAAAAAAAGTTTAAAAGATCCTTTGAGGCCCAGATATGGGCCAACAGCCCTAAGTATTTCAGAATCTCCTCTAGCAACATCTGATCAATATTGTTTTATAAAATGTAATATCTATTTACACGTCTGTTCGACCATTCTGTGCTAGATGACTGATTATATAATGAGGCATGGAATAAGAATCTTTAGTGAAAGACCATTTTAACAATTACAATAATTTCTATAGATTTAAAATTATAGGTAATTGAACAAAAATATTGCTGTACATGTATTGGATTACCTATTCCAGCTGGTGGAATAGGTATTCCAGTTCAATGGGCAGGTTCAGCTAATTGTGGGAGACGGGTAATTTAAATCAACATTTGTTCATTTAATGGAATCACACTCACTGTCTTTCAAATGTAATGTACTTATTTCAATAGAAATATCTCTAGATGTGCTGAACTTAGTTGTTTGTCTGCAGACATTTTATTATCCAGCTAGGTTACATTATCAGGGGTAGTGAGTGTGAGGTTAGCTGCAAGTAGCTTATACTGCCAATTTGGTAAGGGTGCAGTCTCCTCCTTGGTTGTTCCTGGATTAGAATATTATCTTTTGCCTGATTTATTTCTTGTTGTTATTGTTTTGAAGTTTCATTGGGTTTTTTTTTTCAAGTGCTTACATTATTTCTAAGTATTTTTAAAGCGTTTATATTGTTTTCTGGAAATGAACAGCAAGATAATGGAAATAGTGTGTACTTTTATGTTGCAAAGAAATTTATTTATTCTCTGTTTTAGAATCTGGAATGACTCTCAGAGGTTTACACCTTAAAATAAATTTAGAATAGCCCTTCGAGGAACAGTATTAAGCAATAAAATTGATTTAAAAAACAACCAACATGACAAAGTGATCAATTGGGAAAGGTAACATTAAACTTCAAATGCCTCAAGAAAAAGTTCTGTCTTAAGGAATGATTTATGGGTTAGAGCAGTGTTTTTCAACCTTGGCAACTTGAAGATGTCTGGACTTCAACTCCCAGAATTCCCCAGCCAGCATTCGCTGGCTGGGGAATTCTGGGAGTTGAA